AACCCGCCACCTTAGGTGTATGTGGCTGGCGCCTTAGCCGCTTGAGCCACAGGCGCTGAGCCAATCCTTTGTATTTTAAATAGGGAAATATAGCCGTCTGTTAACCCCTGACCCCTTCCTTCTCTCTCACCTTACCAACAGCCTTGAAGCCTGTATTACACAACATCTATCATACAGGGTTCCCGATGGCCATGGAGACCACTCAGGGCATAGTGCTACAATGGCAGGCCCACGGCTGGCTCTTGCACTCATCCTGCACACCAGTGGTCTCCCTACATTCTGTGGCCCAGGAGTTGGGGGGCCTGGCTGGGAGTCCACACACTGTGGTGGTATTAGGCTTAGGAGCCCACTTCACTACCTTCCTCCATCCACCTTTGTGCAATGACTGTCAGGGATCCGAGGATGTGGCTGCCCTCCTGGCCTGAGAACCTGACACTGGTAGTCATCAAACTGGCCAACACTGGCTATAAGTCTGTGTATGGTAGCAACTGATTCACCCTCCAGGTGAACCGGCTCCTCCAAACTGCCTTTGCTGGCCTCTGTGTTGGCCTTTGTAGATGCCTGAGAAATGACCTCCAGCCTGGCCCTGCCAGATGATAGCAACTACCCAAAGCCACTCATTATCCAAAATGAGGTGAACATGCTTCTCTCCTGCGTTTGCCCTGCCTGAGCGCTCCTGAAGGGCTTGGGGCTGCACTGATGGGGAAGCTAGTGTGGCCAGTGAGCTTGGGAGCCCTTCCTCTCAGCTGTCAGCACCTCTTCTCCTACCTCTGTTGAATGCACAGACTGTAAAGTCAACCATCAAGAATGGGGGTTGGGGATGGCACCTGTGGCTCAGTGGGTAGGGCACTGGCCTCATATACCAAGGGTGGTGGGTTCAAACCTGGCCCTGGCTAAATTGCAACAAAAAAACAGGCCTTGTGGTAGGTGCCTGTAGTCCTAGCTGAGGTAAGAGAATCACCTAAGCCCAGGAGTTGGGGGTTGCTGTGAGCGTGTGACAACACAGCACTCTACTGAGGGCAATAAAGTGAGACTTTATCTCTACAAAAAATAAAATAAAATAAAAAGAATGGGGGGGTGACAGGGGAGGGAAGCCTGGTAGAGGTTCAGTTCCCACATGGAGAGGCAGTGCTGGGGTATGAGGGCAGGGGACAGAGCCAGCAACATCTGCAATGTTAGAGTCTCCATTTAGGGCATTAACAAGGTTTACAAAGATATAAGAGCTGGGTGCCATTTCAGTTCACCAGAACCACCCCCACTGGGAAAGCCTGACTATATGTAAAGACTTTATGTCCTGATCTGTAAAATAAAATATTTCTCCTGTTAAAAATAATTCATGCTTTTTATAGAAAATTTGGAAAGACACAAACAAAAAAATACTACCAAAGAAAATAAAGATCACCTAGAATTTCAGGTCTGGGATTGAAGTGCATCTATTTCCAATAATTTCTCAGTGGGTAAAATTCTTTTCCATACCCAAAGAAAATAAAGATCACTTAGAATCCCATGTCTGGGAATAGAAGTGCATCTATTCCTAATAATTTCTCAGTGGGTAAAATT